CATTCTCGGGGATATTTGGGCCAAAAATGAGGCTCCCCGATTGGCTATACAGTGGTAGGAAGGCAGAGGTATGACGGGCAGGCATCACACTGGTGAATGGAGCCACAAGCATAGCGGAGGGCAGCATCGACTCTGCCCACGTCGGCAGACGCATGCATACGACCCCTTCCGGCCTCTGTAGAGTGGAAGGTGTAGCCATACAGTGGGAGGAGGATGAGGAGGGGTTATCCATGTAGTGGTAGGCGGAAGTAATGAGCAGGATTAGTCCGCGGTATCACTTCCTCCCTCCACAGAGATGTGGTGACACAGTCCCATCAAGTCCAAATGGAATCACCAATGAATATAGGAAAAAAGATGATGGATGTTTTGGCCAACCGATATGATTGGAGAAGGTGACATAGTCAATAATATTTGATCTACCACATGTGCATCCAAATAATTAAAGGGGCAGTTAGCCTAAAGCATCCTAATTGGTTGAACTTAATCACACTTGACTCTAGGGGAGGGTGTTTATGCTATTTAAAGATGGCAGATTTCTGAGACTAACAGCTGACTGAAGAAGCTCAGAGGAGAGTGAAACGCGTTTTATCGATTTCATTGACATACTACAGCATATCGGTTTCTTTCTCTTTATCCTATTGGAAGATATATCTCATGAAGGAGTGGTGTGATGCTGCCCTAAGAGCATAGCTGCCTGATATACAGAGCCAATTGCATCCGTTACATGTAAGTGGTCTGATTTTAAGCTATTGTACTATTGAAGTATTTTTACCATGTGCACTATATTTTTATTCTTCTGTTTTTCATGTATTGAATTTCGTACTGTATATACCTGTTTCAAACGGGGGTAAGTCATTCCTCATATTCTTGTACTTTAGCGCTCCACTATAGGTACAAGTGTATCTTTTGTGTGTCATTTGAATTTAGATGCCTCAAAAACAATTAGAACATTTCTGCAGGTCCGTCACAAATGAAAAATAAGTCATCTATATTTCGATAATATTCGATCTCCAAGCATGCTCCTCCAAATGGCAGTGGACTCCCAGAGATTGGCATTAGCTAACCTGTGGTTCCCATTTCTTTTTTTAAATAAAACAAGTCTAAAAATGTAAGTTTTTAATATTGGTTAAAATAAAATTGATGCCTTTATTTTTCTATTTGTTGATCTATAATAATGTTTTCTTGTGTCAGTATCTTCTGTATCGCTAGATGGGGGAAAATTAGTGGGGACAAATTGTGTATAGGGATTGCACGTCATATTACTAGGATATAGTTTGGGTTCCACACCATTTCATCTAGAGACTGACTTAAAGACATGGAATCTTTTAAGTAAGACTTCATCTTCTTGAAGGAAGTCTGTAATAGGATACCCCATTGAGAATAAATTATTATATTCTTTCTTTATTTAACACTAAAAACAACAAAAAAGAACTCATTATACATTATACAATCTTTAACATGCATTTAACAGCAATATTACCTAAAAGATTGCATTTAAGCTCTAATATCACCATTTTGAGTTATTCATCAATACAAATTTTTACACACACAAAACAAAACAACAACAACAAAAAAACATTTAATACACTCTCCCCCCCTCTGCCTCTCTATCTACCTATACCCTTCCTATTCGCATAAACCTTCCAGGGTTCCCAGACCTTACCAAACATATAATAAGAATGTCTTACTCTAGATGATAATTCATCCATTATATAATTTTCTTGAATCTTTAATTCCACCTCTCTCATTGATGGTAAATCCAGATTTATCCAGCTAGCGGCTATACATCTACGTGCGGCCAATAAAATTAAAAATATTAATTTCTGCGAATGGCAGGGTATACCTGCTATTGATTTCGATAGCAAAAATATCCAAGGATTGAGTTCTATATTTCCCTGTATTATCACTTGAATTAGCTCCCTTATTTCCTCCCAATAGCTTTTAATCTTTGGGCAATCCCACCACATGTGTAAATATGTCCCTTGTAAACCACATCCCCTCCAACAAAGATCCGTCAGATTTTTACCTATTTTGTACAAAAAAACAGGGGTCACATGCCACCTAAATAATATCTTAAACATTTGTTCCTGCGAGATTACACAAATCGATATTTTGGATGCTGTTTCCCAGATATCTATCCAATCCTTAGTTTCCAAAGAAGAACCTAAATCTGCCTCCCAGTAGGATATATACTTTAATGGAGCCCAAAGCGTAGGTTCCTCACTTAGTTGATTATACAAATCAGAGATAAGACCTCCCTTTAACCTACCTATTTTGCACATTTTTTCAAAATTAGTGAAGGGGAATTTAACTGCCGTTTTTACCTCCATTGAATACGCAAAATCTCTAATCTGCAAATAACGAAAAAAATCTCCTGTCCTCAGTTCTACTCTGGTCAACAAACTAGAAAATAAAACTACCTCTCCTTCTGACCAAAGATCTACACATCTATAGATTCCTCCTGCCTTTAAGCCTTGAAAATTGTGTTCTTCCATACCAGGAATAAATTGTCTATTCCGAAAAACAGGGGTCATGGGTGAAGGGAAATTAGTTAGACCGTATTTTAACTTAAGTTTATCCCAAATGTGGAGGGAGTTTGCCGTAGAAGGGCATATTTGTTTCAACCCTGGTCTTGAAACCTTATTCAACCACATATACAACCCTGGCGAGTCTGGTGTCATTAAATCTTCCTCCATATCCGCCCATCTGTATTTCCCTTGATTTGCATGCCAACCAACAATTTGAGCCAATTGGGCTGCGCAATAGTAAATAATTAAATTGGGGAGACCTAGTCCCCCTTTAACTCTCGGTCTATACAAGAGAGTTCTAGCTATCCTATGTCGCTTGCCCTGCCAAATAAATGTGTCTATAGCTTTCTGAATACCCAATAAGTCCTCTTTACAGACCTTTATAGGCAATGCTTGAAATAGAAATAAAAGCCTCCGTAAAATATTCATTTTTATAGAATGAATTCTGCCAATCCATGAAATTGGCTTATCATGCCAATTCCCTAGGTCCTTTTTCAAAGTCTTAATCAAAGGTACATAGTTGTCATTAAATAATGTATTATAATCGTATCCAATTTTAACACCCAAATAGCTTAGAGATTTATCGATACTCATATCAAATTTAGTTTTTAGCTGGTCTTGTTCTATCTCAGATAAATGAAAAGGCACTCCACACGATTTATTATAATTTACCTTATAGCCTGAAATGGCTCCAAATTGTTCTATCAACTTAAACAATTCAGGGATAGATTCAGAAGGGTTTGCTATAGAGATTAAAATATCATCAGCATAAGCCGCTGTTTTATAAATCTCCCTCCCTATTTGAATACCCTGTATATTGCCACTTCCCCTGATATGGATCAGAAGGGGTTCCAATATAAGTGCAAACAAAATAGGAGAGAGAGGGCATCCTTGACGTGTGCCATTGTATATTCCAAACGGAGTATTAACTGAGCCAGGGAGCTGTATTGTTGCTTGGGGATTTGAATATAATGCACGGATTATAGTAATGCAATTGACTGGAAAGCCCCAATATTGAAGCAAATAAAATAGATAAGGCCTATCAAATGCCTTTTCTGCATCTAATGATAAAAGTATTGATGGTGTCTTCCCTACTGCCATAACCCAAGCAACATTAACTGCTCTATGTGTATTCTCATACAGCTGTCTACCTGGAACGAAACCTACCTGATCTGGATGAATCAGAAAAGGAAGTAGGGGAGAGAATCTCAGGGCAAGGACTTTAGCTATTATTTTTATATCAACATTTATTAATGATATAGGCCTATAATTTCCCACTGAAGAAGGGTCCTTATCTTTTTTTGGTAAAAGAACAATTTTAGCCATTGTAAGGTCGGCTGGAAGAACTCCGCTTTGACAAATTTCATCTATGACCTCTTGTAAATATGGCATAAGAGTGTGTTGAAATATTTTATAATAACTACTACTAAAGCCATCTGGCCCTGGTGCTTTACCCCCCTTAATAGAAAAAACAAAAACAAACAAACAAACAAAAAAAACAAAAAACAAACACAACCATATATACATATATACACAATAAACACCTCCTGGACTTACCCAATGCCAGGAGTTAATTAGGGGGCACAGTTTTCCCAGGTCTACTTCGGCCTTGGGATAAACTGCAACTACTCCCATCAACCTGAAACCTAGATTTTTAAACTAATACTAGCAACCTGATTTTTCTTAACATAACATGGGTCCTCTTACACTTCCCTAAACGCCTCCTTAACACATATGAGCTGTCCTCGGACCCTATACAAAACCATTCAAAAACCAAAAAACTCCATATTATCCTATAATACAACATTTTTACTGCTGAATTACTATTGAGATTTTATTTTTTATTTTTATCAAACGCATCATTTATAAAATACATACACCTATATAATATGCTTATTTCTTCTCATATATGCCTTACTATATTATTCCATGTATACCAATATGCAATAACTTAATCCCTTCACTTCCTTATTCTCCCCTTCACAATCACCATCAGTATATCACATTATATCCCACTTCCCCCCAACAAAAGAGGGAAAAAAATAAAAAATAATAGATTAACCTAAATAAATGAAAATGTATGTCCTTTTAAGTTTGATTCTCTCTCGCATCAAACCATTCTCTGGGTAAAGTTGGTAATGGGGTCTTTTGTTGAAATAATGGTATTACTCCCTCTGGTGTATCCAGGCCCATTGTCTGAAAAAATCTACTTGGATCCCCCGTTGGTAATAAAGCTCTGGTTTGTTCATTATGAAAAGCGAGAAGTTTAAAGGGATGGCCCCATGCAAAGGGAATGTGATTAAGTCTCAGATGATCTGCAATCGGCTTCCATTGCCTTCTCTTTAAAAGAGTAGATGGTGAAAGATCTTGAAAAATCTGAAGCACCTTTTCTCTGTAAATAACCTCCATCCCCCTACATTTGCGGACTACAGCGTCTTTGGTGCTATGGTAATGAAATCTCACGATTATATCTCAGGGTCGTTCATCATTCCTTCGTAGACCACCTGACAAACGGTGCGCCCTGTCAATTTCCCATCTGGGTTCAGGAATGTCTGGTAGTAAGGGTCTAAAGATTTCTAAAACCAAATTCTGTACCGGACCCTCATCTCTGGTTTCCGGTATCCCTCTAATTTTAATATTATTACGTCGGGATCGATTTATAAGATCCTCAAATGCCACTTCTAAAGCGTCAAGCCTTGTGCCCCATTCCGAGCTCTGGATTAATAAATCATTATGTGCTTTTGCCACAGCCTCTACCCTCACTTCTAGGGCGGCAGTCCGATTACCAATTGCCTGGATCTCTAACCTTATTTCCTTAGCATTTCTCTCAATCTCTCCGGCTAAAAAAATTCTATCCTCTTTCATTTGTGCCAATATACATTGTATGCCGTCTAATCCTGATGTCCGCATAATAGGTATAGAAATATTAGCTGTATCAATAGGTAACATTTTACCTGATCCTCCCTCTCCCAGGTCTGGATGGGTCTGGTCTAGATGGTCTGACTGGATCTCGTGGCTATCCCCATTTTTCCTTCCTTCCAGGCTGTTTGTTGTATCCTGGCAATTATTCACCATGTCAGTGCTATTCGCTGCTCCTGAAGCACGCTCGTTTTGTGGATTTTGCAGCGTCTTCATTTACATCCGCAGATTTCGCTGGCTGAAACATGGAGTGCATAGAATGTAGAGTGCTGCTCCTGGACTTCGGCTTAGATCCCTTACGAAAAGATTTCATCAGTAACAAGCCCAGGAGGGGGTATAATACCCTTTTTTTTCCCCCCCCTTTAAAAAAAAAAAAAACCCAAAGCAAAAAAAAAATAAAAAAAAAAATTCCTCCTCGTTAGAGATCTGCTAAAACGCTGCCCTGTTACACTGTTACAACAATATATGCCAATATGTAACAGTATGTAACAATATGTAACAGTGTACCAATATGTAATATGCAATGTGCAATGCGTAGCTGTATAGCAGTACTTTCTCTATAATTCACCCGCAGAGTAGAGGAAGATTAGGGGAGAGATTGAGTAATTGAGGTGAGTAAAATAGAGAATATAAACTGATATAATATAGCAGGTAGAGCAGGTATATTACCAGCTACCCAGCTATCTAACAGTCTAGCCGGCTATCTGACCGGCTGTGCATGCAGCTGCTCCTCGTCGGACAGGTAATTGAAAACTTCACCGGCTCAAATTAATTTTAAATGCTGAAGGGATCAAAAAAAAAATAAGAGAGACAATATAGTATGCTGGATTTTCAATTTTTCAAAAAAAAAAACCTTCGATGTCCAGATCAGGTTGTTTTCAGAGGCTTCTGTGGCTTCAGTGAAGGGAGCTCTCTCCCTTAACGTCTACCTACATTGATGGTCAGACGATTAAACGATCAAACGATCAGACCACACCCCCTCCCATTGAGGATAAATTAAAAGGAAGGAAGGGAATCTATACCTGACACAATGGGTCATCCTGAGGGATTTTTCTTGTTTTTGTGTATCTTGGGAAGGAAGTATATTACTGGAATCTTGGGGTAAAGTGCATTAAGGTAAACACATTTCTGTTTATTGAGGATGTTAAAGGATTTACCTTTTTTAAGGATCCTTTATTAGTAATTCTTTAAATAGTTAAGGTTTTTGTAGACTTACTTGTTTGAAGGCTTCTGCAATATACATTTCCTTGGGAAGTATGACTATGCCTCTACAAAAGTATTACTGTATCTTGCTGAAGCAACACTAAGTGGTTTAGCTGTTCTCACAAATGTGAGTATGGTTCTTATTTTATTCTGTCTACTAACTACATCTGAGAGCACTCTTGTATTTTGTTCTTCTGATTTTCATATTTATGCTCATGCTGCTGAAGAGTCTGTGATATATATACATTCATTAGTGGAGAGTGTTCCACTGCAAGCTACTAAGTCCAGAGCTGGTTAGAAGCTCCATTACATGTGAGTGGATATTCACACATTTTTATTGTGTGTCATACATATAGTGCAAACATATTGCACCATTGGTTCTCCTCTTCCTGTTTTTTCACATGTACCCACGAAACATTCAAGTACCCTAAGAAGCAAAACCATCTATTGAAAAGTCAAAATTCTGGATTGTGTCCCCTGGACATTTTTTCATAATTTTCCACTTTAATATACTATATATTTTTGACACTATGTGAAACCTGTATTTGTTATATTTTGGTTGCTATTTTAAAAGGGATTAAAGGAAACCCATGGGTTCAGTATATGCTGCCCATAATAATCTGCCGTTCGAATTATTAATTTTTATGTGTATTGTTTTGTAAACACATACTCTATATCCACTATCCACTCACACACTCTGCATCCACTATACACACACTGCATCCAATATACACACACTACATCCTTTAAACATACTAAATCCTTTAAACACTGCATCCTTGTGGGCGTACTTGAAGGTAAGCCCTGTGGACAGACTGGGCTTGGGCTCCAAGGGCCCAGGCCTTGAGCTGTGTAAGGGGCCTAACATTTCTGATGGTGTGCATTAAGTGGAGGATATTTGGACAATTTTTTAAATCTGAAAAGGTGAATATTGTCTGTTTTTTACAAGTTTTGTATTGCAAATCCTATGAACCCAAGAATCAAGGGCTGATATACCAAGACCTGTGCAGCATGATATTCGTGTATTTCACAACAGTACACTTAATAACACTTGTTTAAAACACTTTAATGACAAGTTAATTTTTAAAGCTCTCACAGAGATTTCTACCACAAAACCAAAGACAACACCATGCTGATGTGCCTAAACAGCACAGTCCCTGGGTGCTTACTAGAAACTTGCAATTGCACATAAATCTGTGCTAATAAATAGCAGGTCATTGCAAAGGTAATCTGTAGAAATGTAGCTTTGAAATTTGGAAATGTGAACACTGTCTTCTTTAGTTACATATTTTTCATTGAATTCTCAGAGAAAATCTTTTTAAAATGTTCCATACACAGATATTATGATGGATGGAAGGAAGGATGACGGTAGGGTGTGCATGTGAAGTCACAGCACCAGAACGCGCAAAACGTCACATGTGATGTCACCTGCACCATTCTCCTGCTGAATTGACTGGAGAAAGTTCAGCTTCACTGCAGGAACCCACAAGAGAACAAGACCAAGGACGGAGTGAGGGTACAGAGTGGGTACAGAGATTCTGGGATCTGGGATGGTGCTGTCCTCAGGGACTCTGGCTCTTGAGGGAGGCTTTATGGATGCCTGCAGGGCAATGGGGGGACAAAGGGTATGTTATGCTTTTTCTTAGGGCACTCGAAGAGCACTTGCCTCCTGCTGGTACACAGAGTGGTAGTCAGAGAGTTGACGAGCAAGGTCTAGGTTTTGGTACCAAGGAAGAAGATATTAGGCAGCATGAGGCTACTGTAGATGTGACTAGTGTTAGTCAGGAGATGGGTTGTGTGAGGCATTAATCACTGTTATGTGAACTTTTGCCCTTGGGGATACACGTTCCTCTGGATGTGAGAGATATGAGTGTAAAAGGGAACAACGTGGATCTCTTAACTCTGGTACCCCTGTATAGAGAGTCATAGAACAGCTGCAGTGCTGGGAACAGGGGGAAAACAGGGGGCAACAACTATCTTGGACAAAACGCCATCTCCACATCCGCCTTTGCCATTAATGCGCCCCGTCCTGATGCCTGAACCAACTCAACCGCTTGGTCGGATGATGCATAGGACACTGAGCACAGGGCTGCATCGATATCATCATTCAACGAAGCTCCATTTGGATACGACAAATGATGTATCAGCCTGAACTTACCGGTTTCCTTCTTGGGTACCACCCCCAACTGTGAAATCCGCAAATCGGCCAAGTGAGGGTCAGAGAAAGGACCTGCCATTCTACCCAGCTGGACCTCCTTAAGCAACTTTTCCCTCACCACCCCAGTGTGTTCCGCTACGGACTTTAAATTACCACAGTGCCGACCCTCACTGGTATTGACCCCAATGGGAGCTGACAAGACTGCGGTACCCCCAACACCGCTGGCGGCAGAAGTCTTACCACGCTTAAAGCATCTGTTGAGACCGTGCCCCCCCCTGCCCTGCAACTGGAACATTCATGTTTAAACCAACATGATGTCCCCCACTTACACTGGCCCTCATTAAAGAGCCAACAAAAATCCTTCTTTTGTCCGGCCGAAGAGGTGAACGAACTTTTGTGCTATCATTAATTTTATCCAGAGTGTTAGGTCCATCTGGACCCACCAAATGCCCGGATTAGCAGCCAAACGCTGGCGAAACTGTTCATCGCACTTCCACCATGCCGATCCCCGGTATGTATGATAGGCCTCCCAGATTCCATCTAAATAACAAAAAAATTGCAAGCACCGGTCTGGCGCCTTCTCCCCCACCACGCTCGCCAAGATGCAAAAGGCCCGCAACCAATTGCCAAACGACTTGGGTATCTTCCGATATAGCCACCGCTTCTCCTCATCCTCCTTCTTGGAGTCCTTTTTATCCTCCTCCTTCAGATCAATGAATTCATCTAATGGAAAGAGGGAAAAAATCTCCAGAAACTCACCGCGTCTCATCTTCTCCTTCACCTCCAGTTTCAGATGACAGCCCAATGGCCCCGCAAAAGGACACATGGACATTCTGTCTAGCCATATCCGGGATCTCTCCCGTTAACTCCTTCCATTTGATGACCACCCAGGAGGTCACCACCCCGACAGGAGAGGCCGCCTTGTCACCTTGCCCAGTTGTACCGACTATCACCGGCGTTGCCACACCAAACCCCATGACAGTTGCCGGAGCATCCCATACCTGGCTAAAATTTTGCACCCCTGTCCCTTTCTTGTCCCATGTTAACAGAAAGGACTTTAAACAACCCAATAGATCACCTGTGTGTGATGCAGGAACTGACTCACCGACAGAACCCCCAGTTGTAGCAGGACTTGGGGGGCGACGTCCTTCCATCAACCTCCCGAAGGTCCAGAGTAGCATTGTGTATCCATTGTCCAGGCTGCGAGAGAGCTGCCCATCCGTCAACCCTGGGAAAGTCCGTAGTATTGCTGCGCAGCCGCCAATCCGCAGCCTAATCCCATCGAGGGACCATGGAAGAGAGAACCGTAGACCTGCGGGGAGAACTTGGGTACAGTGCTCACTCGAGCCCCAACCCGCCCCTCCGCTCCACACTCCCTCTGACCACACTCGCTGTCCCTGCTCGAACAGCTGCTTATCCCGCTGGAAGCGCAGCGCCTGCACCTCACCCTCCTGCCTGGGGAACCTGACCACCTTCTGCCGTGGCGCCTGACTGAGGGGACCCTGTCCCTGCCACACCTATGGGACACCGACCTCCCTCCTGTTCACCCATTAGTGGGTGGTAGGTAGAAAAAGGTTGACTACCACTGGTGTAGTCGGTAAAAAATCGCCTCAATGAGGTTTTGGATGAGGTCGGGGCAGTGGAAGGGGTAGTACCCACATGTGCCCTCGTTTTTTTTGCTGCCATGTCTCAATATTTGCCGGGATCAGTGCTTATTAGGCCTGTTCTGAGCAGAGCTCGGCTCTCACGCGTCCATCCGCTCCGGAGTCCAAGCCACGCCCCTCATCGGTTCTTTTAAAGATGTGGTCGGGGTTTCTAATTTGACAATAAGATCTGCAAAAGCGAGATTTTGTAT